AGATTACACAGACACAAGGTTCATCTGTACTTAGAAGGCTCATTACTTCTCCCTGCAGTAAGGAAGTTCAACAGCAGAAAGCAACACTCTGCCCAAATACCAGTCTCCATTTGCTCTTACAGGATGCCTCACACGGACGTTAAGTTTAGGCAGCCCATTTATATCAGGGGACCTTTGTCCATGATATACATACACATTATATATTTATATTTGGTGCTGTTTATTAACTGTAGTGACATTACTTTGTTGTGGATATATACTTACTATTAACGGCGTTATTACAATGCTGTGGATGACCTTTCATTTCAAATAGCCATGTTTCTCCTGTCTAGTGAACTCACTGTTCCCTGGTTTCAAGAAACGCTCATGTCTATAGAAATTTTTTGTACATTTCTAAGCCCACTAACAGTTTATCAGCTCCTGCCAGGAAGGATGTCATTTTCTTCTCTCAATTTACATGCACAAAGGCTCTGCAGCTCCTGCCAGCCCCCTGGGGCTCCGCTCACACCTCTGCAGTGAGTGCTCTGCCCTCGCACTCTGCGAGGCCCTGTGACAGAAACTTGTGCTCCCAACAGCAAAGCTAAGTGTACCAGGGACTTGGGACTGTGACCTGTGCATTTGGGGTAGAACTGGAAATAGCCAAAAAGTGGAACTAACCACCCTATCTTGAGCGAACTGGGATCAAAGAAACTGCACTTTCCTCTTGACTAAAAATTCTCAAGATCTCAGAATTTCATAAAATTATGAATTATAAGGTACTTTAAAGCCACATAAGTTAACCTCCCAACCAACTTTTTAAATAAGAATTTCCAGACAATGTAAACTTCTTAATCTAAATTCTTTTGTTAATATCTTATCAAGAGTTACACAGAAATAAATCTGTATTTAACTTCAGTTGAAGGTCTATTAGCTTTTTAAAAAACGCCATTTGCAAAGAAACTACTGCACATTAAAGTTATTAAAAAAACATTTTAAAATCAAAAGAACTATGCCAATAACCCAGCAAAATGGCTTTATAAACCTTAAACACTGATTTATTTGCTGAAAATGAGGTTTAAGGACAGGCTGTGAATTTTAAAGCGTCTGTTATCCTGCAGCTGCCCCTCGTCAGAAGATACCTGAGGAAAGAGAAGAGAAGGCAGGCCTGGTGTAGGCTGCCCCACAGGAAAGGGCATCCACAGCCACAGGGCTGCAGTTCAGTTTCCTAATTCATTCCGCCAAGTCTCACCACTCGTGTTGCAACACCTGTCACTCTCATGGAGCTGTCAAAAGCAGCAGCAGCCAAACCAGTATCCCCCACACCTTTTTTACTAAGGTATGACCCACTTCTTAATTATCTTTTCTAATGGAAGTATCCAAAAGTAATTTTATTTAGATGCATTTCATGATTTTATTTCTCGATCCCTGAGCATACAGTGATTAGGGTGGAAGGGAGGTGGCACTCAGGTAGATAATCCACAAAGTCACCATACAAGAGTGATGCAAAGAAGCCCCAAGCACTGACATAACCAACCCAGTGAAAATCCTAAACTGGGGACAGTGTTTCATCCTTCCCAGAGACAGGAAGGCCCGTCTGTGAGAGGGAGAGAAGGAACCCCCAGCCAGGTCTGAGCACCAGTGGCCAGGAGCACAGCCACGCAGAGGAGCTGGAAAACCAGAGTCCGCCTGAGCACATTCGGCAAAAGGGGAAACTCTAGAAAGTGAGACAGGAGACGGGAGGCGGCAAGTTAGTAAACTGACCTTCCATATCAAATGAGCAGCCTCTGAGAGTGGGAGGAGCAGGAGGGGGCCAGGAGCACTGGATGCTGGCTCTCCTGCTCTGGAGAGGGTCCTGCTCCCCGTACAGGATCACAGGGCCAATAAGCCCAGGGAAGAGCCTTCAGGCCAGTGCTCTGACCAGTTGGAAGCATGACCTCAGGTGAGCACATTTCCCATCTGCCAAAGAGTCACTTTACTCCCAAAATGCAATGGTCTCTCCTTCACCCAGCAGTGAACAGGGCAGGACAGAGGGCAGGGGAACCGGGGAGCAGAGACCACCACCAGCCACAGGGTCTAAAATTCTAATTCTCCACCCCTCCTCTCACCCACTACGCTGCTTTAACCAGCACAGTTGCTTGGTAACAGCTTTCAGCAGATTTTATGGAGTTCTTCCTCCCACAGTCCAGCAGACAAAAACAAGTAGGGAAGCCACTAAAGGATAAGGCAGCAGAAGGAAAAATTTAGGAGTCTGGACGGCCCTGGAAGGCAGGATCATCCAAAGGCTGCCCAAGTGTCCTGACTACAGCTGTCTGAGCAAACTGACCACAGGCCTGAGTTTAGGGCACAGCAGGAGCTTTTGTGCAAGAACTGAGGCCCTCTACTGGTGAGATCCGGCACCGACCCCTTACCCTCTGAGGCTGCTGTTCTCTATAATAATGGGCACAAGACCACTCACCTGGCAACGTTATTCTAATTATTAAATGAGATAATGCATAGCAACGCCTACAGTGCTGGACACACAGTACTACATAAATATTTTTTATATAAATTAATGGTCAGAGACATTCATCCTGTCACCTTCAAAGGTCATTATTTCTGGGATTAAATAATAATGCCTACCGTTTACCAAGATATCATTTACCTGTGCTGGGCCCCGTGGCAAGCACTTGACACATATCTCACTGGCATCCTGCAACAATCCAGCAGGAATTGTTATCCCCATCATTTTTAAACAGAGGGGCAAACTGAGGACCAGAGGTTAAGTAGCTTGTTCATCGCGAACTAGTACTTGATTGAGCCACAACTCATACCCAGATCTGTTTGACTTCAAAGCCCATGTTCACTACCACTACGCTACACAGCCCTGGCGACAGCCTCATGTCCCACAAAGTCAAGTCCAGCCATTAATAAGGGCACAGAGGGGTCAGCCTTTTCGGTTTATTACCCAGGCTGGCTGGAGCCCACAGTGACCAGGCTAGCCTCACATCAGCTCTGAAAAGGAATCGTGAGCACTCCTGACCTCCCCTTCAGGCCTCTTCCTAGAGCCCTTCTGAGGTCTGAGCTATCTCCTAGAGGCACCTCGGATGTGAAAGAACCCCACAAAAGCCAGAGGGTAGCATATAATTTCCCTCCCTAGCTGAAGGCAGGTTAGGGACCTCAGTATAAGACAGGATGCCCTCAACAGCCTAGCAAGGACATGATCAAACTGGCTCCTCTCTCTGGCCCCATCAGGCCTGTTCATGCCCCCACTGCTCAGAAGAAAAGCCTGGCCAGTCTGAGGTCTCACCTGCAGCAGGAGAAAGAATTCAGCAATTAGCCACAAGCAAGGAGACAACTGGTAGACCACTGCCTTTGGTTTGGAGGTCCCCAGACAAGAGCCATAGGGGACCAGCCAGACTCGGGTAAGGAGCAGAAAGGCAAACCCAGACTCCACGTGCAGGGTGACTCAGGAGGTCCTGCAACACCAGGAACTCTGGTGGTCAACACAGGGCATTAACGACAGGAAGGCAGCACGGGAGAGCTAGAAAGGAATACAAGGGAACAATACGGACCCTACAGATCCAGGAGGAAGCATCCCAAAGGGAGACGGGGCGGGAGACAGTGCAGCGACATAGAGACTGGGACCAGAAAAGGCACGGGCTTGGCTGATGAAAACAGGGACAACAGTTGCAGGAGGAGCCCCTGAGCCACACGGGGAAACCCGGGGTCATGAAGGAGACTGAAACCGGGGTCCCCAGGCTCTGGGCTCAGTTCTGCCACCGACCGTGGCTGTAGGTGGATCTGGTGGCCTCTCTGAGCCTTGATTTCCTTGACTGCACACTGGATAACAATCCCTGCTTTGTCACAAGGCCTTGGGTGCACGGGATAAGATGGTGGACACAAAAGCGCTCTGTCTGCGATGAGGCCTCAGGGCGAGCTACGACCACCCTGCAGACCCTTGTGTCTCCCCCAGTGTTTCCAGCACAGGCCCAAGGGCAAAAGCTGGGACTGTGTAAAGGTCACAGGGCGGGCGTGCCTACTTCCTGCTGCCCCACAGCCACGCTCTGCCTTCCCACCCCCCTCCCCTGGCCCCACTCCAGTAGAATGGAAAATAAAACCGGTTTAAAAGGAAACATTTATAAATAATGAAGAAAAAAATACAGCAAAGAATAGCAAGATATTTCACCTCCCGTCGGCTCTTGTCCAAAAGTAAACAGCAGTGTTTTCTGTCGCTGGTTTGTTCCTCTCCATCTAGTACCAGGAGGTCAGAAGAAGAGATAAGTGGGGGAGGGGAAAGGAAAGAAGACCCCACGAGAAAAAGAGTGTGTGCTGAAGGTTGCCCATTCAAGTGTGGAACCAGGACAGCAAGAGAGCCAGGTTCAGATTAAAAACGACACAGGTCACCAAAAAGGGCTCCTTTCCCTCTTCACTCTACAGGCCGATGTGCAGCTGTCAGGAGGCAGAATCACTCGTTCCCAGACACCAGCGCAGAAGCATGTCCCCGCTGTGTGGGGCAGGGGTGATGGTCTCCATGCTGAGGGACAGGTCTACAAAGTCCCTGCTGAGCCCAAACTGTCCTTTACTGTTGCATCCCTGCCATCTCCAGTGGGGCTGCCTGCTGCCACCTGGGAATCACGGGCTCCCAAGGCTTATCTGCTGTTGCTTAAGAATGCTTTTATTTATGAAAATTCAGTGGAACACCATACAAAGAGGAAACAGGTGCGTGACAAAGATTACACTCCATAAGATACAGAACCCGGGGCCGGCCCAGTGGTGCAAGTGGTTAAGTGCGTGTGCTCTGCTGCGGTGGCCCAGGGTTTGCTGGTTCGGATCCTGGGTGCGCACCGACAC